GAGATAATGTTAATAAACTAATTCCCCTTTTGGGCACTCGAGTGATGGAGTGATGGAACAGTCAGTTCATTAGGCAGTGGTGTTTGTCTCCCCCTCTGTCTCCGTTTGTGTTCCACTTTTTCATGGATGTAATTCCCGAAACTACCCTATCAATCTGCTCCCAGGTGGTAAACTGTTTGATCTGGAGTATACAGACGACATTACCCTGCTAAGTGAAGATCTAGGTATGCTGTTTACTTTTCTGGATAGTTTGGGTGCTAGTGTTTATTGTACTTACATGATTGTATTGGTCCAGCCTTAAACCTGAATCTGATTTATATCCGCGAGATTAGTATTGATGCGCGATGACCGCAATTTGGGTCGAATGTGTTGTGAAATTGTTTGGTTTTGAACACGGAATTAGCATGCATGCAGCCGGGTTTATCTTGGGACGAATGGCATTGATCTTCGTTCCAACAACTTTTCTAACTTGAGACATCTGGGAGGCCGTCGCGACGTCCATGAAAGGTTGAGTATATGCTGCGGTAGTTCGGAGCAGTGACAGCCATTACTGGAAGAGTACAAAATAGATTGTCAGTGTTCGAACACAGCTGCCTACGCCTTATTTCACGGGTCTGGTGCGGCAACCGGACAAGCAATGTTGTAGTTAAGCGCAGAGTTTTAGATTATCCTGGTCGTCCACCGGAACAAGTTGTCACCCTCCATGGACTCGGCTGGTTGGGACATGTGCTGCGTATGTCACCAAATAGGTTTCTACGGCGAGCGATGTTTGTCGAGGCAGGTAGTGGTAGTCTAAGTTGAGGCGAATTGCTACCTGGAAGACGTGCAGTTTAGTGTACGGACTCGTTTGTAGAATGATAAGCTGATAGGCAAAAAGGTATTTTTAACACCATTAACTCTGTTTGATTCCTTGCCAGGCGTAAGTTTTCGGTTGTACTGTGGAGTTACATATTTGAAGTTTCGAACAGGTCTTACTAGTTCTCTGTTGATTCGACCTGGGCGCAGTCAACTACTCAGTACTTTGGTCAACCTTACCATTTTTGGTATTATTTTTATTCCGACCGCTTCACGTGTTTAGGAGTCCACAAGTCCAAGTTTCGAGGCGGTCCACTTCCAATCGACTTCAGTGGTAGGCAGCTGCGTTACCATCCGGTCTATCCTCCTAACCCACTTTTCCTAAGGACTTAGATTACCGGTTCCGACAACCGCAGAGCAAGTGATCGTGTCTATGTGGTTCACTTATTCTACTGTTAATCACAATTGTGTAAACAAAATATGTTTAGTCAAATTATGAGATACATTTCTGCTCCCTTTTGACCATATCCGGTGAGTGTATCTTATTCCGCGCTAATCTTCAACACCGTTAGATCGAGTAATTCCAATCGCAAATAGGATAAGTTCCGCCAACCACAGTAGTATTAAATTCACAACTGAATTTCTGGTGGAAGGAGCAGTATCCTAAATCGTTTTGAATAAATAAGTGAATCTCATATTTATACATATATATTCACTTGGTTAGCGCTAGATTATCCACCGAGGTTAATTGTTTTGAAAAAAGTCATCTTTTACGAAAGGCAGTTGGTCTCTTTCCACAATATTGTAAACGTCCGCGTATTTTTCTTCATTTCTTCGTCAACCATGTGTTGCATACCAAATGGTCCATAGATCTCGTTCACCCGTTTCACTGCGGCATTCTGAATCCAACCGTCCACGTTGGCGCAAAACTAGTCCCCGAAAGTCAAGCAGATCTCCTGCTCAAAAGCATTCGCCCGTTCATTCTAGTAAGTACTTTTCAAAGGTATTTTATCCATTGGGGTTGTGATTGTTAATGCACAGTCCAACTGGCTTTCGCCGACATAAGTCTCACCAACGTCTTTCCGGAAGTAATATATAAACAAATATTTTTCGCTTCTTTTTTTCTGAGTATCCATTTGTATAATTAACTTTCAGAAAGGGGACTGCGGCCATACAAAAGCTGCCTGGGGAAGATGGGTCGGGTTCGAACTCAGGTCCTCCTGGTGTCGATTTTGACAACCATCGCCGTATACTGTTACTTGCAGTTACTACAGTTGGAAACCCCTATATGAATAGAGTAACTATTGGCTGAAAACGTATGTTAACCATATGCCTTCCAGCTACGCTTAGCTGTAACATCCGTTCAGAGATTGGGAATTTGTCAGATCTGATAATGTGGAAAGATTGTAGCTCAGGATGCGGATGTTAGTGTTGGTGCACAGCTTCGGGGAAACTGCACTGATGACGTTGCTTGGCCTGGCCACGAAACATTTGCAAACAACAATTCCAGCTCGGAGAACACATCAACACCAACATTTGTCAGATCTTTCTGATGTAATACAAAGACGTAAAATCGCACAAACGGGTGTCATTTTCTTTCAGTATATGGAACCGCACGTTGACCTAGGCGATGAGCTTATAAAACCAGGAGGTTTTTCACTGCATCGGGTTACTCAACCTGCTCAGTACCCGAATCATGGAGGCGAAGGCGATACTTATGCAAATGATCACATGTACCTGTTTGCAAACACATCTGTTCTAATGTTTCCATACTCCAATGTAAGCGTACCCCTCGGGTCATAGTCGCTTCTTGGTCATATCTGCATTTATTCGTCATGCAAATATTTCGAATTCCGTGCTTTTCCCTTTGCCGCTCAAACGGAAACTTCCGTGTGTTTTGTTTGCGGTGATTTTAATCATTTTAACACGATTTTTCTAACGTTGTTGGGATTACTATACATTATGATTTGCTCGGCCAAATCTAACGCCTACTTAGACGTGCCTTTTCACTGATCTCAGTTTTATGAGTGCTCGGCTTCTTTGATCCTATCACCATTTAGATTTCCCTGACTGCATGTGTTAATCAAACCTCAGTTACAAGCTGAGAACATCTTGGAACTTTGAAGCGTTCTCGCATGAACAATTTTTATACTTTCACTCACTCAGATTAATCGACTTCTTTTCCTCATCTTACTGATTGTTCCAAGTTTTGCTGTGATGTATGTTGCCCACGTGGAACCGTCTACGTTCAAGCAGACTGCACTTCTTTCCTTTTCTTAAACAACTGCAGGGCAAACGAACACTTAAACGGAGATGTTCACCTCATAGACTGATTATTTATTATTGTTATTATTGTTCCAAACAGTTGACTAAGTGGTAAAATGCAGCAACCCTAAATTTGCGGTTTGTATAAGGTTTTTTGGCTGCATTGTATACAATTCGTAGCAGCAGTCAGAACAGCGGCAAAGTTGTTCCGCCGTTTTTAGAATCCATCTGTGTGTCTCCTCTTACAACTTTCACCTTCACTCTTGGCCAAGCTTGTGCCAAAGATTAATGACTTCGGAAATACTTTCGGTAGTCTCTATGTTTTCTGTCTTAACCCGATTCAGTCCAGACAAGGGAAATCAATCGGATGATTGCTGAGGCTCCGGAAAAACCCTCAGAAGAGAACCAGGTTTCGCAAACCGTGGAACGAGAGGTCACAGATGCCGATATCAACGAGATGGCTGCAAAAGTCCTCCGAGCAGAACTATCCTCAAACACGGTGAGCTTTAATCTATATCAAATGCAACGCTCCAGTATCGGTACAATCCGTATGTGTTTATGGGTGCACGAATGGTTGTCAACTTTATCTACTGTGGTTGCTTTTTTCACGGTTATTTAAACTCGAACCCTTGTAGAGATCGATAAACAAATTGGTACCAGTTTGCATTACCACTGTCCTTCTGGTTTTCGTCTTTGTCACTTTGATTCAACACTCTCCGAACTTTATTTTTGGTGGCTAGTTTTCCTAAATGTTGGCTAACAGTGTTCAGCTAGTCTGATTGCGCACGAAAGAAAGTAAACGTAAACTGTGCAAAACAGTTTGCAATATGCTTCTTAACCAACGCTCGTGCAGCGGGCGCGAATTCAATGCACTTCACACACACATATATACACACACAGTTACTACAATTACTTAAAATCACATACGGCACATATACGCAGTGACCATTTCTATGTCCCTAAGATCATAGTTGCACTGTGCGACATAGGTTGACTTTTTCTATTGCAGCTTTTGTTTGTCCTATCCAAAACCCAGTTCGCTGAATTCGACCATGAACTATAACACTATAAGGTAGCAAAACTTTCAGGTTTTCTAAACGAATGGATTGATAGGCTTTTCACATGCTTAGAAGTACGTTCACCGGTTATCTTTGGTATTGGGCATAAACTCGAAACCATAAACTGCTCCAAAACATCAAGACTTGAGGCTGTAGTCTCTATATTCCGATTTATTTCACCCTTGGGGTCAAATGCCACCCCACTGTGCTGCGACTATGTAAGAGGTCCTTCGCCTTTCCTTTCGGTTTTGTGCGCAGTTATTCCTTCACCATTATACAGCACTTTTCAGCTTTAAAGCCAACCGAAACTACTACACCTAGGTCCCTTACTTCAGATATTCGTAATAATTTGGCCGAATGGTCCGTGGCAATTCATTGAACGTATTGGGTACTAACTTGGCTTTATGCTTACTTTTGATTGACTAACTGCTTCATGAAGATAAATCGGTTTCTTGGATGTCCATGTTGATGGCGATCCACGAGTGTCGATCGGCGGCAAGTTTAGCACAGTATGACCCAGTTCTGATTCCAGTTACGGATTGGAGGTCCAGTCTTTTCATACTCGCCTTGATCGTATTGCTAGAGATCTTCAGTTAGCCACCGAGTAAGCAACGCCATCCACGGAAGGGTTCAGGAGCTAGAGAGTCGCGTATCCTTCGGAGCACGTGACCAAACCACAGACGTCGGTGTTGTAGCATTTGGAAAAGTTTGTCGATGTTCAAGCAGTGCCGTCGACACCCATATCCCCAATTTCCTTCCGAGATGTAGCGTAAGCACCAGTGGTCAAATACCTCGATCTTCCTCGTATCTTCTACTCTTAACGGCACTGTTTCATAATCGTATCTGAGGATGGTGCGGAAGGAATCCCTATAAACCCGACGCTTGAATACTGAGCCTCTGACAGCTGCTTGCACTTTTTCATGTTTACTAACAAATTCTGTTCCTTTGTTCAGTGGCATGGTAATTCTGAGTAACTTTGCCTGGTTTGGTTTAAAGGAATCACACTAGTTTGAAGTCGTCCACGGAGATTCTAGTCTTTTAGCTAGACCACTGACATAAATGAGAAATTTCAGCGACCTATCACTACGCAATTCCGCTGGTTAGTTGTTCTTTTAGGCTAACTGATATTCGTCGCAGCAAGGCTATTGTCCATTCTCTAACTAGTGGGTAGTGTAAACGTTCAGTTTCACTAGCACCAGCTTCACCGAAATTTTTTCAACCTCGAAGGGGCATTTAATTTAACACATTGATTGTATTTTCCCGAACACCGAAAGTATACGAAACCAATGAGGTTTGATTATTGACACACTTCCGGATTGGGATTTCGTACCCTCATATCGGGTTTTAGTGTGACCACCCTTGCCTTTTTGAACCCATTACCTGCGTCGGCAAGCATCGCAAGCTGTGGCTTTCTGCTTGGTAACATGCATAATACACGCCCCGACTAACACAATCTATGCAGGTCGATTGCTAGTCCCAGTTAGCGACCGCGATTGCCCAACCTCAGCATTGCTTGTCCTGCTACACTGGTACAGTACGGCATAAGCAGCGGTGCTCCTACACTTTCATCCTTTTCCTGTAGCGACTGTCCCTGCACCATACAGTAAGCCCGACCAAATTGTTGTAGCATACACAACTCAGCACGTCAAACTGAATGTTCTAGCTTCGCCAGAGGTATCCCAGGTTTGTTAATATTGTCCATTGTTTATATGAGCTTTCCTTTCTCATTATTCGTCTTTCAGTTATTCACGACGAGGTTCTCTCATGACGAGAGCAGATGACCTACATGCCTCCACGACCCACCTAGCTGAATAGCATGGTTTTCACAACCGTGGATCCAATAATGCTCGAAAAGTCAATGGGTAGATGCCAATCAGAACCCAGTCTCACAAAGCCTGATGATTAAGTTCCACCTGGCTTTTCCTTAAACCATTCTGTTGCACCCTTGTGGTGGTCACTCTGGTAAACAAACACGGAGAGGGGAAGCTTATCCGCTAATTAAATGCAAAGGCGGAGTACGTGGGGTGTGCTTCCGACGATGGTAGAAACCTCCGCACTTGATCAGACAGCTGCCATCGCCCGGGTCGATTAGCTCGCGTCCATTTTGTTGCGGTTCTGTCCACGCTCCATCTGATCCACTGGGTGCTTAAGGCTATAGATACAAGTGCATCAGAAATTCTCATATACCAAATAGTTAGATCCTCAAACGGCCCAAGTCGAATTCTCAGTCTCACTGCTGCATACAACCAGTAATTAAAAAAATCACTGATGATCAGAGTAGGATTCCTCATAAGTGGAACCAGGCTCTGATTCAGCCTTGTTTGGCTTTGTCAATCACGACAACTAGGTTGTTCCTACAATATATCATTGCTGTCTACGTTGTAGTGCATGTGCACGGATCGGAGGGCAGCTGTGTGCGTATGCGTCTGTGCACTGAGCTGGGTTCAGGCTACGCGTAGCTCAGCGCTGATGATATGTAACTTTGAGCTGACGGTTGTCTGCTACTGAATGACTGACTCTTTGGTGTACGAGAGTTCGTAATACGCATATATATATATATATATATATATATCATACATGTTTGAGTCCAAAATTTGTGCCAAACGAATCCCACAACACTCACTGAGTTTAACCATTTCGGTATGATCAGTCTTTGATCAGTCCCAGCGTCTTCCCTGAAATCTGTCTGTATGATTTTACATACGGTAAAAAGTAAGCCACAAAGATTATTATTCAGCTTTAAGTTTTTCCAAGAAATCTAATTTTTTAGAGGTTTCATGAGGAGTCCCGGATTATCTCGTGCTCTTTGTGGTGTTTTATGGGTTTAGGCTTAGCTTCACTGTACTAACCTATGCTGTTTCGTCGAAACATTATGATTGATGGCGTTGTATGCAGTTTGACTAAATTTTAAGCAACATACTCTCCATCTGTCCTAAGCTACATAGTGAGCGCGAAGTTCGATATTGGTTTTTAATTTCCTCGTTTGTAAGTGCTTATTGT